AGCAGTGATTTTGGTGTTAGGAAAAGAGAACGTGATGGAGGGAAGGCGGGGGGGTTGGGGTAAGCCTAACTTGAACACCTTGGCTGGTAATATATGCAACCCTATTGTGATGAATCAATGCACCATGCAATAATGGGGGGTAAGGAGGAGCACAAGGCAGTAGGGACGCTACGACAGGATTTCTTCTGCCTCATGGTGTGCCCCTTTTTTAAGAAACACACCCAAACCACGCGGTATCAACTGGACACTCAACAAAGTGCTTCTTCCATTCATATCTGAGTTATTATTTTTTTACTGAGGAGCCAGCCAGAGACAAGAGCCCGAAGACAGACCAACATAAAGACTCAATAATTTTGCTACAGAGACAAGAACGTTGTGATACCAGGAGCAGTTGTGATGAAAGTCTACATTGTTATATGAACATATTTTTGTGGCTTACCACCGCACTGTGACGTGTCTGCTAAAGGCTGTGGTGTCTAAACAAAATCTGAAGAGAAGGAGTTTGACAGGATGAACTGAGGTGAGAACACTGATTTTGTTTAGAAATCCATACATGATCAGTAGCAGCTTTGTTTATGGTTGCCTGGCAATATGCAAACTATAATTAAAATTATAATAAAAAAATCAGCGCTATAGCATGCTGTAATTTTTGTTTTTTCCTTTTTAATTATTACTTGTAAAATATATATTGCACCGTGATTAAGTAGGAGATTTGGTGTCAGGATAATCTCTAGTTAAAAAACTGTAATTGCATTAATTAGATTATGAGAAGATACTTGAAGTGAACCACAGTGCACAAGTTTTACTTTATTTACATGTTAAAACACCACACGATATTAACTGGTGAACAAGTATCAGGCATTGCTTGCAGAATGAGTGAAAGGGGAAGTCTCTGTGTTCTCAATTTAGAATGCAAAATCAATCAATTAAAAGTGATTTGCAGAATGGAGGCTGACAGGGTAGAGGGCGCTGTTACTTATAGAATTCATGCTTTGTTTCAGTTTCTCAACTGTGAAAGCATGAGAACAAAACCAAAGAGCTGTATCTGAATAAAGCTGACAAAAGAACAATAGGACACTATGTACAGACAAGGCTGCAAAGAATGGGGGGGGGGGGGG